CCAATTTTTTTTTCCAGCAGAAAAAAAAAGACTACAAAAGTGCGTTACTGCATTATGCAGGCAGCATGTGGTCCCATCCCATCACTTGGTATTATTAATCACATTTGTTCCTGGGGCCATGGTACAAAGGAATTAAGCAGACTTACTGAGGGGGCCACGGATGCTGGTGTGACCTCGATAGAAACGGAAGCCAAGTGAACTTAGAGTGAGCTGGCATATTCTGTTCTCCTTAATACTGCTCAGCATTATGAACGCCCATCTAATGTCACTTCAATTCCATTCAAATTAATAAAATCTAATTCATTTGAATAGGATTCAAAGTGACTTGATTCAACTCAATCAAATTGCGCACACAGTGGAATCAGCCCTTGATTGAAACCTATTAAATTCAATTCAATGAAATAAATTTAAATATTATGCAGTGGAATTAATTTTTAATTAATTAACATTTCGGTTCAAGTCCATTTTGATCTGAACTTCAGTTCTCCGTTTCTAAAATTGGACCCTATTCAAATGAATAAAATATAGTAAGATCCAGTGTAATTCCGAAAGATGCAACTTGGGGCTAATGAGCTACATTCATTTCTCCTCAGCCTAATCAAATAAGTTGAGTGACATTCAATCACAGAGAGATAAAATGTTCACCTTGAACTACCACACTCAGTGTTTACATTGTAACTTCAAAATTATTAGTTTTCCCAACTTCACGTTACTGTCTGCAGTATAAACTCTGCAAGACTTTTTTGGGATGCGTTCTATGGTTTTTTTATTAACATAGAACAACATAGAATTAGGTGGTTGGGAAACAGAATAATATTGTTAACCAGTTGAATAAGCTGGTTTCGCAATAATTATAGGAAGCTTGAGATAGAGTCACTGGTATCTGAGAACGTCAAGATATATGATTTTTTATTTTATTTTTAAAGTTCTTGATGTGAGTAGTAAAATATAGGCATTTGGATTCAGAATTGTGGTTGTGAAATTGCAAAAAAAAAGTGTTACAATAACTAGATTATTCTGAAAAAAAAAAAGTAATTGGGAATTTAAAATGGAGGTGTTACTGCAGTAAACACCATTATCACCTCTTCATATCTTACCTGGAAAACAAGGTCCTGGACTTGTATCCCAATGGGACCCAGGCACCGGGACCTCCGTGTTCTGTGACGAAACCCACCCTGTCATGTCTCCAAGTCAGCGTATGGCAGACCTGTGTGACACTAAGGGGCGTCACGGCACTACTGACCAGGTCTCAGGGTCTTCCTCTGAGACCCTTACTCCGTAGGCCAGACAAGAGCCTCAGATGGCTCTTATCCTAGGTAAGCTGGGAACCCTCCCCTGTACCGACAGATCTCTCACCAGCGGGAAAAGCACTGAAGCAGTCACTCCATGACTTCACCTCCCAGCCCTCATCTTTTCCTGAGGGTCCTGGGACTTGCGCTGCCATGGTCCAGTCCTTGGAAGTGACGGCAGAGGGACAAACTCCACACAATGGGGAAGACAGGCTGCCTCCATTTAAGCCACAGAACCCTAGGACGGGTGGCCTGTTCCCCCTTCCAGTGGCCTTTGACAAAGGCAGCTGTCAGCTTTAGCTGTGAGAGCCCTGGAACCCTTGGACTGTGCACACCTCATACTGAGTGAAAGGGGCCTTCAGTCCTGCTTGCTCTTCCAAACTACAGCTATCAGGTTGCCTGGAGGGCCCTCCTGTAGCGACAGCACCTCCAAATTCCCTCTCTGCTCCAGCCTAGCCTGGCGCGTGTCATGAGGTTTTCCCGGCTTCTTCCCTAGGTCATTTTCATTGGAAGGAAAGTTCTCCCAGGTATGAAATGCTTGGCACATACCATCTGGAATTATACCAGTGAAAGGGGTCTGTGCTTCGTAAGCACATTATCTCCCTTTGTACCTTGGTATGGAGCATTGGAATCAGGTCAGAGTGGTCCGCTGAAATTGACGGATGAAGTGGAGAAAAACGAGTCGTGGTGAAGACGGAAGAAGGGGGCAGGAAGTGGGAGACTTTTCAGAGTGCGGTCAGTCCCTTTAGAAAGAGGATCCTGCACTGTAGCCAGAAGGCTACCAGACAGCAGGAGCCTGGGGAGTGCTGTAAGGAAGCTACCAACAGGGGGCACGAAGCAGAGCCTCGGAAGGCAGGTTTCTGCAGCCTTTGTACCTGTTCTGTTTCCTTTGCTAAAAAGCCCCCTGCCAGTCTTTAACAGAATTTGTAGATAACCAGATAGTCACAGATATCATAAAGCTGGGTCTCATCAAGCTAAAATGGTGCTTATACATTTTCATTTTGGAGACTATAAACCCTTGTGGTATTCTTTTTAATATCCTCTAGAAGTAGATGGAATGGAACTAATTAAATGTCCCAGTGACCGTACTGGGTCTTATTGTAGCATGTACCAGGATAATATTTACTTAAGCAGACGGTTAAGTTACCTTGTGTAGCAGCCCAGAAGTTCCAAAGAACACATTTTGAAAATCACAGGTATGTACCACATCTCCATCAAGAGGTCCCTATGCGTTTGCTGTTGTGTTGCTGGAACCGCTTCTTGTTATTGGAAAAATAACAGAAATCTGTTGCTCTCTTAAGTCTTGGAAAGCAAGCAGCCTCTTTTCTGTCTCCTTTTCCCAGCTGAATCACCCAACCCATAATAAACCCTTCACTGTAACAAAGCTTGATCTTAAGTGAGTACAAACAGTATTGTGATTATACTTAATTCAGTCCATATTTGGCTGTCTTAATACCGTATGCCTTTCTCTGATAATTCAGCCTCTTAGAATACGGCTCATCATTACCCAATCTTATCACAGTGGTTACGCCTACTTAATAGTGTTAACAAATCTCTTCATATTCCAAGGTTAGAGACGGTCTTGAACTCTTGCCACTGGGTAAATAAATGATTTCTTCTCTCACCACTTCTTATTCTTGTCTTAAAAAAAAAAAGTCTTTTCATTTTTATTGCTTTGAACTGCTTTCCCCCAAAGCCAATTAATGAGTAAATAATGATTCGTAAAGCAAAAAGTGGTACTTCATTAGCACAGCACTGGTCTAAGACAAGCCTCCGCTCAAAGCAAATTGAACCTTTCTCTTCTTGCTGAATATAAAATATGCACCAAATTAATAATTTATTTTGATGATAACGATTTAATTTAACCAAGTTAGCCAATGCTGATAACAAAGAGCGCAATTAGCTTTCCCTCTGGATTATGTTTCTCTGATTGGCATTCTTCTGTTCATGGCTTATGTGGAAACAGCTCAGCAACGTGTTTTGTGCTGCGCTTTACTTCTGTTCCGAGGAAGGAGAGCAAAATGGCTAACCAGGAACATTAAGGATGTAAGATTAAAGTCCTGTGATTTAGGAAAAAGGTAGAGGATGGGAGAGGCCTGGGAAATAGGGCTACTCTTAGCTGGTCACTAGGGTGTCACCTCCTTGCAACGAATAAAGGGAATGCCATTGCATATCTTCCCTTTGGGTCCTGTCCCGGTGTCCGATAAGATCCCCTCCCTGCGTGGAGCTGTGGGTCTGCCGTGTGAGATTAGCTCAGAGCCCGGGTCCCATGCAGAGCTTTGGGATCCTCCCGGAACACCAGTGGCCCAAACACCTTGACAATGAGACTTCTCCTCCTGGATTTCTCGGTCCTCCCAGAAGGTGCTGTTGGGAATCAACGGGCTCTGTTTCCCGATTCCCCTACAGTGCATTTCTCAGAGTCTCATGCCGAAGGAGAGGCTGATGATGATCTTGCTGCATTTACTGACACTGTTCTGATTTTTAGAAAGAAGACCGAGCCAGTTTTTCTGGTTTGCAATTTACCATCACTTTCTATAATGAAAGCAGAGCAGTGCTGGGTTGTCTCTAGTCACTGAGAGGCATAATCAGAAATGGAGCTGAGTGTCTGAGATATACTGGCTATTTGAGGGACAGTCGGAACAAGGGAGCTTCCCACCAGGCCATCCATTAACTCCCACTCCCCAGGTGTCTGGCTTGCTTTCTCTCCAGCATCTGAGGTGTTAGTGTCCCCTAGTTTCCAAAAACAATGACGTAACCAAAATTCCTTTGAGAAAAAGAATTGAATGTTAGGTCAGCTTGAAAAGATGCAGTGCAACAAATGATGTGATAGCTGGTGTAGGTCACGTTTCTACATTTTCGGGGTCAGGTGGTAGTCTGGGAGTCCCTAGGGGCCTTTGCAAGGTCAGCATGGCACCATCGGCCTTTGCCCATCTCCTGTAACGTGACCAGAGATGGACTCAGCAGAGACCCAGTGTAGCTTACAGGCGTAGTTCCCTGGCTCAGATTTCATAGTTTCCATAAATGGGATATTCTTTTAAGCCTTATTATACTTTTTTAAACTTTTGGCTACTTCAAAAGAACATAGGAGTTGATTATTGATCATGGTTCCCACATTGGGAAACATCTGAAGTTCAAGTCTTTACTGTTTACTCTGACAGATAAGAGGGAAGCAAAATAACTTGAATGTAGAACGTAAACACAGCCCGCTGCATGCTGGGAGGAGGCCCGGACAGGCAGACAAGGATGCAGAGGGCCCTTATCTGAGACCTGGCTTCTGCAGGCCTTCAGACCAGCCTCATGAACGACTGAAGTTTGACTCTTTCTTCCAAGGAAAGCGGAGCATATCCTGGTGGGAAAACCCGAGTTTGCCATTCCGTCTGCTATGTTTCATTAAATATTCCCATTACGGAGGGCCGGCCGAGTGGTTCAGTTGGTTAAGAGCTTGCTAAAGAATGTGAACTCTGAGCAACAGGGGTTTGATTCCCGGCCCAAGCTGAGCTGTCACTGACTGGCCAACAGGTGGCAGGATGGCTCAGCTAAAAAAAAAACAAACAACAAATATTCCCATTACGGAAATGCAGTGACTTTTATGAGGGGTATGTGTTCAGTCTGCCAGAGAACGACGCCACCCCTGGGGAAGGTGGCTGTAAGGGGGACATGGTGACTGCCCGTTCCTGTCCGAGCTCACCGCGCCTTTGCCCTCTCTCGTAGATGGAAGTCCGTACACCTGGTGGGTTGGCAAGGCCAACGAGAAGCATTACTACTGGGGAGGCTCCGGGCCCGGCATTCAGAAATGCGCCTGCGGTATCGAGCGCAACTGCACGGACCCCAAGTACTACTGCAACTGCGACGCGGACTACAAGCAGTGGTGAGTGCCCAGGGGGCGGGGGCGCCTCTCAAGCGGACTGATGC